TATAAAGCATATATTTAAAGTTAACAGCAATAAATAGTATTAAAGTAGCTTAAGGTCTAAAGGACCCCTTATAAAGTATATATTTAAAGTTAATAGTAATAAATAGTATTATATAGTTATAAGTAGGAGAGATTGCTTATAAAGCATATATTTAAGGTTAGTAGTAATAAAAATAGTGTTATATAGTTATATGCTAGAGGGGTCCTTTATAAAGCATATATTTAAAGTTAGTAGTAATAAAAATAGTGTTATATAGTAGCTAGGATTTATAGTTAGCTATAGTTAAAAAAGTGTTATATAGTTATAAGCTAGAAGGACCTCTTATAAAATATATATTTAAGGTTAGTAGTAATAAAAATAGTGTTATATAGTTATATACTAAAGACTACTTATAAAGTATATATTTAAGGTTAGTAGTAATAAAAATAGTGTTATGCAGTAAGTAGGATTAGTAGAAGCTATACTTAAAAGAGTATTATAAGCTTTTAGGTTAATAAAGGATTACTAGTAAAGTAAAGCATGCATTTAAGGTTAGCAGTAATAAAAATAGTGTTATATAGCAGCTAAGCTTTATAGTTTACTAAGCCCTTAAGTTAAGCTTTAGCTTAGATCTATAGTTAGCTATGCTTAAAAGAGTATTATAAGCCCTTAAGTTAAATTATAAGCTTTTAAGTTAAGCTTTAACTTAGATCTATAGTTAGCTATACTTAAAAAAGTATTATAAGCCTTTAGTTAAGCTTTAGCTAGAATTTAAAGACTGCTTAATATAAATAAAAGCGGCTGAGATCTATAGTTAGCTATACTTAAAAGAGTATTATAAGCCCTTAGTTAAGCTTTAGCTAAGATTTAAAAACTACTTAGCATAAATAAAGAGAGGTATAGCAGCTAAGATCTATAGTTAGCTATACTTAAAAGAGTATCATAAGCCCTTAGTTAAGCTTCAGCTAAGATTTAAAGACTGCTTAATATAAATAAAGAGAGGTATAGCAGCTAAGATCTATATAGCTATACTTAAAAGAGTATTATAGGCCTTTAGGTTAAGCTTTAGCTAGGATTTAAAGACTGCTTAATATAGATAAAGAGAGGTATAGCAGCTAAGATCTATATAGCTATATTTAAAAGAGTATTATAGGCCTTTAGGTTAAGCTTTAGCTAAGATTTAAAGACTACTTAGTATAAATAAAGAGAGGTGTAGCAGCTAAAATTTATAGTAGAAATACTTAAAAAAGTATTATAGGCCTTTAAGTTAAGCTTTAGCTAGGAATTAAAGACTGCTTAGTATAAATAAAGAAATATATAGCTATAGTAGTAAGGAAAAGTAAAGTAGTTATAAGAGCTTACTAAGTGCTATAAAATAGATATACTTTAGAGTATAATACGCTTAGTAAGCAGCTAAGTAGTTATATATTACTAAGTATCTCTATAGTAGCGTGCGCTATATAATAGCATCCTACTAACTTATACTAAGTAATATGTTACACCCTTTATAGCTAGTACCTTCTTTAGATAGTTACTCTACTGCTTATATATATCTACACATTATAGGTTTGCTATTTCTAGCTAATACTTTCTCTAAACTATTACTTATTTATATATCTATATACTATAGGTTTACTATTTCTAGCTAATACCTTCTTTAGATCTTAAGTAGTAAGCTTAAGTATAAAGTATAGTTAGGGCTGTAGGTAATAAGGTACCTATTAAATAGGCTTAACAGCTAGAGTATAATAGCTAGTAGGATAGGCTAGTAGGTAACTAGTAGCTAAGGCAGCTAGGATAGTTATTAGAGAAGGTTAGGATATTAAGCTAAAGTTTAATTAATAAGTTAAAAAAGCAACTATAAAGTAAGATATAGTTAGATAGTTAGAAGATAGCTAATAAGATAATAAGTAGAGTAATAGAGTAAGCTAGGAATAATAGATAGATTATCTAAAGTAGGATAGACTAAGACTATTAGAGGTAATAAAGTAGCTAAGCAGCTAATAGTTAGGCTAATAGTTAAGCTAATAGTTAAGCTGAATAGTAGGAAATTATAGCAAAATATAATAGCAAAGCATAGGCTAAGCGCTAGGAATATAGTAGGTAAGCTTTAGAGAAGCCTAAAGAGCAGCCTAAAGAGCTATAATTAGAGCAATAGTTAGAGTAATAGTTAGAGGTAATAATTAGAGCATTATAAAGTGTTAATTAGTAAAAATAGCTAAGCTATAGCTTAAGGCTAGTTAAGCTAAGTAGAGATAGTTAGAGCAGCAAAAGGTGCAGTTAGAGCAAAAGTTAGAAATAACAGTTAGATAGTTAAGGCTATAGCTTAAGCAGCTATTAGAGGTAAAGGAGCTAATAGAGGAGGTATAAGGCGTAAGCTAATACTTAGCTAGTTAATAGTTAAAAATAGAGCTAAGTGTAGTATAAGCTAAGATAGTAAGCTAAGCTAGCAAAATTACCTAATAAGAGGATATAATATATAGTTAAAGATATTATTAAGTAATTAGAAAATGCTATATTATTTAATAGATAGTTTAGTTAAAAAATATAAGCTTTAGAATAGCTAGCAAATAGTTTAAGTATACGCTAGCTAGTTAGAAGATTAAGCTGCCTACTACTAGCTATAAAAGCTATAAGCACTAATTAGAGATATTAGAAGGAGCTAGCTACTAAATATGCTAGAGAACTAAAAAGCTTAATAAGTATTATTAAGTATATATAATAAAAGAGAAAGAGAGAGCTTATACTAAGTAGCTAGAAGTTATTATTAATTTAATATAATAATAAGTTATTATTAATAACTGCAGTATAATAAGTAGGGAGTAAATACTAATAGGTATCCTAAAGAGGGTAATATAATAAGTATAAGTTATAAGTATAGTCTGCTAATATATAGGCTATAGAGTAGAGGTTCTCTTAGGTATAAAGGCTATTAAAGTAGGAGTATAGCTTAAGAGAGAGATAGCAGTTAAGTAGTTAGAGCTATAAAGTAAGTTAAAAAAGGAAGGCCCCTTAATATAATAATATAATAAGAGGTAGCTATCTAATAAGTAGAGAGAAGGTTAGTTATCTAAGCTAGCTAAGTTATAATATAAATATATAATAATAAGCAGTAGTAGTAATATTAAGAGACTAATTAGTAGAAAGAGTATATAGGTAGTTATTAAGTACTTTAAGCTAGAAGCTTAAAGTTATAAATAGTTAGCTAAGGTATAAATAAGGTATAAATATAAGAGATAGTTATAAAAGTACTTATTATTAAGTAGGTTAAGGAGTAAAAGTAAGTGAGGTACTTCTATAAACTTATCAGCTACTTAGAAGACTTTATAGTTATATTATAATAGTAGATATATAAAGCAAACGTAATATAATATAGTAGATAGAGAGAGTAGTAAAGTAAGGATTAATATATAAATAAAGATTATAATTAATCTATTACTAATACTTTTATATATTAATACCTAATAGTTAATTTTTTTCACTAATAGTTTTAATTAAGTAGTATAATAACTATAATTAATAGTGTAGTAACCCTCACTATAATAATAGTAATACTATAAGGATAAAGCAATTAAGCTAGTAATATAATAATACACTAATATAACTAATAATAATTAACCCCTATTAATATAGTATAATAGTATTATAATAAAGTTATTAGTATTAATATAGGTAGTAGTAGTAGTAGTAGTAATAGTAGTAGTAATACCCTCACTTAGGTGTTGCAATAGCTTTAATTATAGGTTAGCAATAGCTTTAATTAATTAGGTATAAGTTAATAGGTTAATAGGTTGATAGGTAGGTTAACAGCAAGTAATAGGGGCAGTAGTAGTAGCAGGTTGTAGCCTACCCTCCTCTAAGTTATAGCTTATATAATATAGGTATAGCTTACTAACTATCACTTAGTTTATATAGTAATAACATAATATAGCCTATATCTAACCGTCAGAAGTAGGTCGACCGTTATTCATACTCCCTAACTAGAATAACTAAGTAGGGTTATATTTAAGTCTCTCAACCTTAATATAGCGACGTGTGTCTTTGCTGTAGTAGCGACTACTATTTATGTGGTGCCTCTTTGGATAATAAAGCATGGCGCGCGGCTGAGAGAGAAACTTCTTTAGATAGATTAGGTGATCTAATATGAGCTGATGTATGAGAGCTGATCGTGGTTAGAGAGAGCCATTGAAAGTGAAAGTCTCTTTAATTTCATAACACACACTATGCGGACTGAATGATAACCAACTATACAAGCCAAATCTTAGCGTTCTGCCCAGCCATTATCGTCCTCCCTATATCTCTTGTGAGCGGAGAACGTTTTTAGATGGCAGTTAGTTCATTTGCATTCCAGCAAAGACCGTTGCGCCCGGTGCCCTGCGAGTACTCGATCAGCGCATTGGGTGCAAATACGAGACCCTGCCCTGTACGTAAAGCCACGATCCTCTGGAACAAGCCCATCATAACACCTGTCTGTCCGGGCGTGGCTGTTCTGCCTCGTCCGCCAGGGTGTCGTCTTTGTTCGCGAGATGACGGCGTAGGGTCCTGTAGCTAATCGGGCGACGTAAGCTAATCGACGATCGTCATAGTGCATAAACCTAAAGGTTTCAGCGATATTTTGGGTTCTTGCTTTAATATAAGTATCTGAACTCTGAGGTGTTGTTGAAGGCTAGCCGCCTGCAACCGCGAATTTATGAGCACTTAGCTTTCTCCTGACTACCTGAGATACTTATGTGCCTTGTTGAGCGCCACGACGCGACTAATATCTGACTTCTTCTCTAAGAAGAGAGAAAGAAAATTATTAAAGAGGAGGCATGCCATTTCTAGTATGATGCAGGGACAGGAGAGGTCAATAATAGTCAGCTGCCTAGCCTTAATGATAAGTTAGCTATTATAAAGATAACACTTAGACGATACCACTATGCCTTTGACGCCCAGAGGACCTCCTCGTCAGATAGGGCCTTCCCCTTGACTATGAAACTCTTAAGTGTCTTGAGACGCTATTGCAAAGAACCTTACTGCCCCTATAAGAACTTTTCCCGCGCGAGGGCTGTTTTGAACTTGGCGTAGTCGAATTGAGAGCCGTTTTCCTGCTGCTCTAGTCTGATTTCTCGAAGTCTGCGGTGCACGACCTGATGATAGAGCCTCTTAGTACCTTCTTGAAATGCCATAAGGCCCAGCATTCTGCTGTTGAGGTCGGAACCGCCGCTAATCTTAATGGATTTGATGTCGACTTGGGGAACGCCGTTATAGACCTGCTAAAACCAAGCAACCTTTGTCAGGCGCCGACCACTAGATGCAAATATACCTTGAGACCCCATCAATAACTTTACGGTGCGGAAGCTCGTCAGCGCGCAGAGAACGCGAACCGTTGTCTAAGCATGGGAGGCAAGGAAAGCCGCCTCACACGGAAGACCGCCATCATCAGACGCAAAAGTATCGCAGTGGAACACGATACCGGCGAGTAGATGAGACAATGGTCTAACAAATAAGAATCTCACTAGACCGTTCTATACAGAACGGAAGTTCTGGGAGACCGCTTTGCTTGCGATTCGAAAGTTGTGAGGAGCTAGTAGGTTCACAGCTGAACCGTCTGGGGATGTGCTGCGGTGGTTGCGGAGTCGTTGCCGTGGGTAGAGTCACTACCGTAGGTAGAGTCGCTACCGTCGCTGCCGTAGGTAGAGTCGCTGCCGTCGCTGCCGTAAGTAGAGTCGCTGCCATGTCACTGTGTATGCGACCTTGGTGGTCTGGCGAAGAAAAAGCCAGAACGCCCCAATGACGTAGTGTTCTGGCGCTAAAATGCCAGAACGGTCCCATGACGTAGTGATCTGGCAGTGTAGATACCTTGGTGGCTCGATGCCGACTTTTGGGCGTCGCGAAGCGCATGCATCATGACAGCCTCGTGGCCCCTTGACCTTTGTGTAGGAGCACGCCATTGAACTTCGCAAGTTACCCCAAACGGCATTTGCGTCCATGTCCCTACTCGCAAACCATTGAGGCTATACTCACTGAGCCGAACCAAATCAACCGAACCAAGCCGTCTAGATCTTGCGTACGTTGATCACAATAGCGAACGAGAACACCAAGGCCAGAGGAGCATCCTAATTACCATTAATCAACACTGCCATAGAGCTCGAAGATGACGCATGTGCTACAAAAGCATACAGCTTTTGCAGCCTTGGGCGATGATAAAACAACTATAAACCTTACCGATATCATACAGCTACCAGGGCCAGGTGCCAAAACAAGAATCGCCGACCATCTCAATGACGAAGCGCTCGCTGTCCGACCGAAGAGGGTTCGAGCGTCCGGTCTCAAGCGGAACCGAATCCCCACCCCGCCATCTGCCTCAAGCCACATAAATGTCGCCCGTCCTTACTTGCATCGCCAGCCTCCATGGGTGTCTGAACATGTGTTAGTAAAGGCTTACGAGACCCAGTAGCAGGCGATTTCATCTTTCTTCTCTGTTAACAGCAAGCAGCCCAATGCTTTTTCGCTTGAGTTCCAGCAAAAGGTCTTACACAGCAGCGTACTTTCTCATAGTCTCTCCGAAATGAGACGCATCTGAAGAGACAGGTGCTGTTTGATAAGGCTGGGATAATGCTATCAAACTTTAGAATGCATGTCCACACTTCGGCTGAATGTATATTTCTCCATTATGATACAAGCAGGTTCATTGTAGACTGTTGGCTACATTGTAGATGTAATATCGACCACTTGTCTTGGAGATAAGGGTACCAGTAGTTGCTATTCGATTTGACATCTAAATGATTTGGAGAGGTGAGCACTAACCTTAATTGTGAATGTGCCTCCGTCTCTAAGTTTATCCAGAAACCTTGTCGTCGATAAGCTCTGCAAATCATCGAGGCCCATCTGTTTGTAGCCAGACTAGCATGGTGCGGTGGCAGCAGTCGCTCCAATCGTTCTCGCAGCTTCCAAGACAACGAGGATTTTCACTCCTCTCGTCCGAAGATGACCAGCTTCAGCAGCAACAGCCAGTCGCATTCTCAGCACGCTAGCTGTGAATCAGCTTCAGCTGACTTCTTTAGATATCTAAGAACCCCACCCCAGTAACAAAACCACCCCACAACAGATACGCAACTCAACATATCAACTTACATACTACACAATATAGATCATCCTAGTTAACCCTACTTTTTTAAGCTACTACTACTAAAAATAAATCTTTTTAAAATACTGATATATTTTTTATACCTTCTTACACCCCTAAAGACCTTACTTCTACTATTACAGTAGTATAAACTAATTAGCTTATACTATAAACTATAAAGTAATAAGGAGTATTATATATAACTTTATATTAACACCTTAATAGTATAATATTAAGGAGTAAAATAAAAAAAAAACTAATAATACCTTAATTTACTATAAAAGTTATCTCTAATAATATAACTATTAATATAAAGCTCTCTTAGCTTTATACTAACCTACTACTAAGTTTAGAAGTTTATTAAATATATCCTCTATACTAAAGGTAATACCTAACTTATTAGTAAAAACTAAATAAAAAGCTTCTTATACTATAACTTAGCTATAAAAACTCTAAAGTTAAAAAAGATTAATACTTAATATATTAAAAATATTATAATTAATAATATAAAGCAAGCAGTTCTTTAATATACTTACCCTCTTAGAGGTTTATAAAATCCTAATATACCTTTAATAGAATATAGATAAAATAGGAATTATAGAAGGGGTATAAAAAGATAATTTAGTACTAAGATACTTTAGTAAGCCTTTAATTTTTATCTAAAGTTTTAAAGAATATATATAAACCTTTATTATTAAGTATATCTCTATAGATAAGTAATATCTCCTACCTCTTATTATATTTAAAAGTAAAAATATATAGTAGTAATAATTTCTTAATAATTTATTAAATTTTAAGAACTAATAATTTATAATATTAAAAAATAGCTAGATATCTAATAATATTAATATTAAATAGCTAGAGAAAGTATTTATCCTAAAGATTATAGCTAAAGCAAAAAAGTATTATTCTAAATATCTACTTATTATAAATAGCTATAGAAGCTATATCTCTAATAAGTTTATATAGAAATATTATATTAATAATATTTACCTAGCCTACTTACCTATATACTTATTATATTTTACCTAACCGCTAGATATAGTAGTCTTCTTACTTCTAAAGAGGTCCTATAAAACCTATCTTAATAAATATAACTATATCCTTAACTCTATACTTATTAGGAAATAAAACTTTCTATACTATTACTTAAAAACTTAAAAAGATACCTTCTAGTTTTATAATATTTAATTAAAATAAAAAACTATAAGTATATAGTTTATTAATATTACTAAGCTATTAATAAGCTAATTTATATATATACTAACTACAATAAATATTTTATATACCTTACTATAGTATAAAAAGTAAACTAATAGTATACTAACCTCTAGGAATATTACTATTAAAACACTAAAAACTAATAGTAATTTATAGTAATATAAATAGTTATTTAGTAATAGATTAAGGTTAGGTATATAAAATATTAACCCTACTATATAGATACTCTTCTTAGAGAAGATTAATAAGTATTTAGACCTTAATAATATAGCTACTATTAATAATTAATAAGTAATCTAAGCTTTTAAAGCTTAAATTAATAAATATAAACTAAAAAAATATACTAAAATTAAACTAAAACTAAATAAACATTTTATAATTATTAAATAGATATAAACTAAAAAATAAGAAGTATAGAACTATCTAATTAAGTTAGAAGTAGTATTAATTAATAGTAAATCTTCTAATAATAAAGAGAGTATAAAATCATATATTATCGTTATAGATTAATAGAGATATTCAGCAATATATTAAAATATAATCATTAGAGTTAGGGTTCTAAAGTATACAAAATCAGGTATCCATTATGGGGTGGTTTCATTACTAGGGTGGGGTTCTTACTGACTCAGCGAGCAGATCCGATGTGGATGTCTCATTGGGTGCGGTCGGCAGTTGCACGACCAGCGGCAGATCCACCTCCATCGGCGTCGTCGGCGTCACCGGCCATGTCGCAGGATCGGCTGCAGTAGCGGGGGCAGAATCAACTGCTCGGCGAGGCCTGATGATGGGTACGGGGATGAAGCAGCATCCTTCGAACCCTTCGCCTTCGACACCTTGGAGGATGTTAACGTGGTCGAGCGTGCCTTGTTCTGAGCTGTTCTGAGCGGAAGGTGCAGCGGCAGCAGTGACGAGTCCTGCTGCCACAGCGGTCACGAACGCGTGTCCGGAGGAGGGCGGTCGGTAGCTCGACGCCCCGGAAGAGGGCGACTGGCCCGGTGAGATCGGATGCGACGGCGGATGTGCACCGGTAGGGGGTGCGGCGCCTGCAGTAGACACGATCAGTGCGTACTAACTCGATACACCGCCGTGGGTGGGGGAGGCCTGCGCCGAGGTAGTACTCGCAACGGATGCGCTGGTGTAGGTTGAGCTGAGACTGGAGCTGCTGGAGGACTGGAGTGCAAACAGAGTGCTTTCATCAGCACACGCGAAACAGAAAGCGCGTACCACTCCTCTCCCGTTCAACCGACCTCATGTCTTTCTCCTGCTCCGGTCCAGTCTCGAGGATTCGGACCATCCTCGAAGTTCGCGATTCGCGTGGAACAAGGACTGATTGGCACGGTGGAGCGACCGAGGCGAGGAAGCCGAGGTGAGTGAGGAGTGAGACGCATCCTCGATCAAGGGATCGGAGGGCCTGATGGGCCGCACCGCCTCGCACATCACTCTCGAGGATGCCCTCCAGACGCTGAGCTCGATCACCAAGTCGATCGCCGACGTCATCTGCACGCGCCTAGCCGACGAAGGTGCCGATGCTCTGTCGGTAACTCGGTGGCGGGGTAAATGTCGCGTTGGGCGGGTAAACCGGGAGTGCTAGATTCCACGACGTCGTGATGATATCTAGCAGACCAAAGTCGATCGCGACCACCGGGAAGCTCACCGGCCGTGGATCGAAGAAGAGGAAGCGATCCCATCCGAACATGGTGAAGTTGAGAGTGCAGTTCGTGCTGGCCACGCCAAGTGCGGTGTAGAACAACTCCTCATAGGCGTCCGCTAGAGAGAAGAGCACTAGACTGAGTGGATCCGGCGCGAAAGTGCCGCCCGAGCAGGAGCTTTCGACGAACACCGTGAGCGCGTAGGGTATCACTATCAATTCCACAAGCAGCCAAGCACCGTCGCGGCCGACCCAGTTCTGCATCTCGGTGGTACCGAGCGAGTACGTCCTCGGCACGCGCAATCTGGCGAGCATCCTCCTCTACACCCAGGACATCGGCGGCATTTGGTTGTTTGTCTGTGCGTGCTGTCTGATGTTGGTGTGCGCTTATCTGACGTGTGCTGGAGGGTGCAGAGCGAGCGAGCGAGGCGATTGGAGGACC